TATATATATATATATATATATATATATATATATATATATATATATATATCACCGGCTTGCGGACAAGCATGGTACTAACGCGACAACGTAAATGAAAGAAACAGGGTACGGGTGAGTTGGGATACAGAATGAAGTGTGAAGAGGGTTAGATAGTTACAACAGGGAACAGTGGATAACAGGAATAATAATTTTTTGTGTTTCACCGTACACACATCAAGCATGCAATACAAACGCAATAAAATTGTCACTTCAATGTGCCACTCGTCATTTCCTTCGACTGATATCCCAATCCTTTTTATGTGGTAAAATCACGAACCTTTTCCTCGTTTGTCATTACACTGCTTCTCCGGTTGCCCATAGAGAAAGCACTTCGAAAATCCTGCGAATGCTTCAGATAACATAGTGTGCACACATCGCATGTACTGGTTATCTAAAATGCCCTAACTCTAGCAACCGTTCACGAATTCCGAAAATGATAACTTACTCCCACTGTGAGACGTAAACACGAGCACTTTCCTGCCCATCTAGGTGTTCATCATCTCTGGTTATCTTCTTGAGTTGCTTCTTTTGGCAAACACGACTGAGCAATGATATCTGTTCGGTTACATCAGTAGAATGTTTCTTGGAAAAGATTAGGAAAGTATCTTTTAATGGTCTACCTCTCGCGGAATCCATTACGATCCGGTCATATTTTATGGTAATCGAAGCGTTCGATTCCGGAACTGTCTATAGGCCTATGATAAAAAAGATGTTATTTTTTTATGATGTTTTTTGTCTGTGCACGCGCTATACGTGATTCAGATTTGTGTGATTTTGAAGCTTGTGAATCCTCGCGTTATCTCATGATCTGTGCTTAGCATCATCATCATTGTCCCTGTTCTCATAGCCACAGTTATCATTATTACAGTCTAGAACAGAACGCTCTTTCTTGTTCATCCTATAGATGATGTTGTGTGTTGTAATACAGATTTCTTACTTTCATTTTCTTACCCGATCGTCATGTTCGTTTGGAAGATTATGCTCAACTTTTCTTAACAGACTGGTTCCAGATTTATTTATACTTATAAACTATTTATATACAGATTGATGAAGGTCGTCAAATTTGTGATTCTCCACTGATTCTAATATTATCGCCTAATTCACTACACACATATATATATAATGTATATATATACCGTGAATAATTCCAATTCCTAATAATATGTATGTTGGCTCTGCTTCCCCCTTCTCAACTCCAAAACACAAACTTCAGCAACGGTTGGAGCTATTCGGCTGTTTTCGTCTGAATTCCGACATTTTCAAATTGCTCGGAAGTTGCCAAGAGCTGCGTGCTCTGGCTTTCGGACACCTCCATCATCTCTCGTCAGACGGTTTGTTGGAACTTGTTGGCAAGGTGAGCAATTTTTTCTATCTGCATTAGATTCTAGCCTATCGTCGCCGTGACATATCGAGTTTGTGCTTGCGATTCTAAATGTATAATTGCTGCAACCAGATGTATACAGTGCGTGCCGAAATCGTTACCGACGTGTAAATGTCCTGATTAAGTTCCGACGACGATAATACACTAGCCTTTTTTATCTAATGTGACCACTACATCTACGGTCACTATTCAACCGCAGAATTATTACTATTATGACTGCTCACTGAAACTGGTATCATCGTTTGTCTTACAAAAGTACCAATTCTCAGTTAAAGTTAAAGTCAAAGTTTTATTATGGGAAATACTTACAAACGGTTGCTTTTCTAGTCCCATAGGATTTGGCACAGATGAATCGGTTCACAATACATACGAAGTAGATGAATGTCACAATGTCACAATTTGTCCTTGTTTCGTGCACTTCTACGGATGTTGATATCAACCATAGGCTATACTGCGCAAAATGTATATCCACATAACCAGGTTCTGTTCACCAATGTCAAAGCAATTGTAACTATCTGGGCGTTTTAGGAGACCGCTACTCCCGAGAAGGGCTAAACAAGGAGTGTCGTGAAATACATACCAAGTAGAATCACAGAGGTCACTTTAAAAATACTGAAAGCTAGATAGCTATCCCAATATTCTAAGTGCGTCGGTATAAGAGCCGCTGAGCACAAAAGATAGGCAGTGCAACCCAGGACAGATGGGAAATGTCACTGACAAAGCACTCAAGCTATTAGGCAAGATCCCTGTTGAGGGCAATATTTCGAAGTACTTGCTCAGTTATACACAAAGGATCAGGTATGGACCGATTTAAAAATCGGTCGAATCTCCAGTAAACTCGCAGTTTGACCGCTAACTCCACTAGAATAAAATGTAGCAATCCCGGGGCAAAAGGTGTGAGCAGTCTTCTACTCCTAGGGGGATACGAAGTACCCTTGGCAAACAGGCCTGGTGACAAAAGGCAAAGTAAGGAGTGAACGATTGATGAGTAAGGGATCAAAACAATAATAGTGGTACAATTGGGATTCTACAATTACCCAGGTAAGCTTAATCTGTGCGACACTATCCCACTGTTTGGCAAGAGTTTTCTAAATTCAAACGGTAAATTGCTTTTTCTGAACTGGATTGAGAAACGCTCACCCCCACCTAATAATACCGAGTGAAAGTACGATTAAACAAGTTTTAGTGCTGAGATAAGTCACATTTTAATAGGCTTGCGGATTTAAAAGAAATTTACTTCACACATTTTTTGTTGCACACTATTGTGTGATAAAGAGTAGATAGGATGAATCTCATAGTCACCTGCTTTTCGGTAACGGAAATCTGCAACCTGAGCCCCGGCACTTAAAGGGGTGAACCACAAAACCCTGCTAATTTAGGCGTGGCATCAAACCGGATGCATTGGCGGGACTCGAACCTCGGATAATGGGGATCAAAGCACGCCGTTGACAGCGACTAAACCATTACAGGCCCAAAGTGTCATTTTTCAAGCGCTGCCCCTGTGGCCTAGCTGAGGTGCTACGCAGCTTCACCATCATCCGTCTAATTGACCACTCCATTTGGGCGCTTTCTGTTCTGTGCTACTCCAAGTTTCAAAAATTGGTCAACATAATTGAACAACTATGGACTTCATCTTTTCTGCTGATCACCACATAATGGCTTTTTACGAAAAGACTCGATTCGTGTTGATCTATGTGAACCGTATCAGTTTTACTATCCTTTTTAGATACGAGATCGTAGTGCATATAAACGATGCAAAAATTGCCAGTGCTTAGTCAACAGAGCTGTCCATACTGAGATTTAGTTTAGCATGTTGGGCACCCGTATTAAACCACTAAACAAAATCCTTAGTCATCACGAGATCGGCTATTTAGGGCATTTGCTACTTGTGTTTCCTGGTGCGTCCTCCTGAAAAGGAATTCGTTACCCGGACGTACATTTTCCTCGAGAGATTCTTTCTAGCATTGCACTTTTGCAAGTGGGACATGATTTTTTTTAGGAACACCTGACTTGAAGGGTAAAAAGTTGTAAATATTCTACAATCTAGTTATCTAAGGTGGTGTAGCTTTCGATTATTGATTTATCGATTCTTGCAGTCAACATTCCCACGTATCTTATTTGCGGTTTGACTTAATCGCATCAGATGAGAAGAGTGCCCAGGTAGTTCAAAGCCTTCCGACTTTTCAGTGCTCGGTAGCGATTGTGGTACTGAAGTTTTAGCTAAGGCTGAACGGATCTTTACCATACCCTGACTGCTATTAGCTGTTTGTTTGACCATCTGGTTGAAGTGTATGCTATCCTTAACTGAGGCGAACAGGAGGGGTAAAATATCTAGCATTTGTTGTCTATTCTCTCAAACTGCAACGTTCCCCTGTTTGATTCTCCTCCTCCTCCTCCACATTATCATCACTTTTTCGTCCCCGTACTCGTGCCTACTATCACAACTCTGTAGGTCAGCGTTGGTTGTAAAAATGAAACGGAACAGTCTAATTTGCATCAAAATTTGCCAAATCGGTCTGATTCAGTTGTTACTGTAACCACCAGCCCCCTCCGAAAACTGGTTTCCAGTGACTTGTTGATTAATCGATCATATTTGTCCCGTGATTTAACTGATGCTATAATCCCCAATCATCGCTGATAGCTTGAACTGCACTGTTATCTAAGCGCAAATGAAAAACAATATCGTGACATCATCATATGATACCCGGTTTTTTCTCTCCCAGCTATTGTAGTGGTCTATGATTAACAACGAACAGAGATTATCAATAATGAAATGAGTTTTTCATTTTTGAAAACTGCTGTTGCAGTGTAAACTTCAAGAAGAAGTCAGAGTAAATGTACCAGATGAACCGCAAAGCGTTTCTATGTGTACTGTGCAGGTGATTTATCTAGTTAATCTAATGTGATTTCGATGCGCTGTTTTTTGAAATCGGCTCTCCGTGCTTATCTTGTGTGTCTATTTCGAACTTTACTTTATTCTTGTATGTATAGATGTGCATGCACCATTGGTTCTGGTTAGTGCGTATGAACCGTTATGTCGTTCAGGGCGCAGCTTTTGAGCATTGGAAGGAACGGATTATGTGTATAGACTGGAAAAGATGAAAACAATTTTGTTTTCCATTCCGCGTAATCGAGAATCTGTGATTTAATCATTCCTAGCGCAATCGTAACGCTGTGCCAGATCTAGTGTCAAGTCGAACTGGGATGCTGCACACACACTTGCTGTTTTTCCATCATATCTGGGCTGATATGCTCAGTTAGTTAAGTTAGTTATTGACTGACTGGGTGCAAAGGACATCAAACGGAGCATTTCTTGGCCTTACCAATGAGAGATTCGTTCCCACTGATTTCCTTTTTAACTCACCCATAAGCGTATAGTTTACTAGTGTCCTACCTCTGGGTTTGTTGTTTCGCTAGCTTAGTTAGCAAGCACAGATAAGAAATACGAACAGTGCAATACGTCGTAGGTAGTGGGCGGCTTACCTGTCGTCCGGTTCAACAACACGCCTAACCTATCGGGACCTTATGTGATTCGCCGCTCCAAGTCCCGGGACCTAGGTTACCGGTTTCCATCAATGAACCGCAGATCCTAGTGACTTTGGGGTTTACCACGTCGGCTGTTCATCACGCGGATAAAAAAGAACTGCCAGAAAATAAACCTACCCAAACGCTGTCGGGCACAGTGTTTACCTCAAAGTCAAAGTCAAAGTTTTATTATGGGCGATTTAATAAAGCTAAAGCTTATCATGCTCCATAGGATTTTTACAGAATCTTTTGAATAACTTCTCAGAAAAAATAACAATGATAATAATGTGCATGATCACTCACGGATGTTGAAATCTTAAGTGTTCCAATGCTTTATCAAGTTACGATTTAAATAGTTCAACTGTAGGAGCACACTACATCAGATGAAAGAGAATTCCATACTCCGCACACTGACTGCAAACGAGTGATGCCGGCAATCAAGGTGGCTGTTCTGGGTCTTCACCTTTAGTGGACCTGAGGTGATCATAATGAGATAAAGTCAGCAGAGAACGGCAAGGGTGGTTGGGTTGATGCAGTATGCGATATGCAAATATTAAGTCACCTCGAAGTCGGTATTGGGATGAGTAGAGTCCCAATATTTGCAGTCTTTCGGAGTATGTAGTGTTATATAGACCTTTTACCAATTTCGTTGCCAGCCTTTGCGGACATTCTAGAGCCTTCCTGTCGCGGTTTAACCATGGGTTCCATACTTGAACGGCGTACTCCGTGTGTAGCCGAACGAACGCTGATAAAAAGCGTGGGATCAATGCTCTTTCGAACTGCCCGAAAATACGTCTGAGTAGTCCAACTTGCTTTAGAGCCATAGATGATGCTCTGGCAC